AACCCAAACAATTCCTCATTTTAGGGCTTGTTTACACTGAATGCGGTGCGTTCCAGAGCGTTCCCCCTGCTTGCTCTATTTTTTGCGTTTGCAGTGGAACGGAATGCAGGCAAAGTTTTGCCACGCGTCCGATCGCACTCTGGGCGGCGGTGTGTGGAAGCGATGCCGTTGAATTCAATGCACCGCCACGCACCCTCCCGTCCCAGAAAGCAGAGGGAAGTTTTGTGAGGGATTGCAGTGCGTTCCAGCAGCTACCGCACTGGAACGCACCGCATTCGGTGTGGACAAGCCCTTAGGCCAGTGGACAGGGTCATGCAAATCATTGCTTTTCGCACCTTTGGCCAGATGCACATCCAGAACCGCTAGTGTATAGTGTAAATACTGTATAGCCTAATATTATAGAGCCATTCATTCCAAACTGCATACAGCTGTTTCAGGCTATTTGGCCATCATCAGTGCAGTGTATAGAAGCCACGGCTTCTATGAAGTAGGACAATATAACCATACAGGTTATGGTGAAAAAGGATTGCTGCAATTAAACAGCCCTCACTCTAATTAACGTCCTGAACTAAGGATTTTTTAGGCTATGGGATCAAAGAGACAGTTTAAGAAGGTTCTACTGTGCTATGTAGGGATGTTCAGATACCAGTGCCAATATTTGGCATTTTCATGAGAACTACCGGGGTTGCAGAGGTTGCAGCTGGGACCTGGCACTGCACCACTGTCCTGAAATCATTAGTCTGTATTGTTTTAGAAAAACTGTCACATGACAATAAACACAAATGTACCAGTACTGGTACTCGCAAAACTGGTATCTGTGCATCCCTTTATTTATATTTATAAAAACAAAATCATACATTAAAACAGAGATGTACAAATCCCAGGAGCTCCTTAAAATGACAGCTGCCTCCTAACTTTTGAATTTTTCTCTAGTCTATCCTGGAGCTGGAAAAGTATCTGCACATGTACTTGGTATCTGAACATCCCTAGTGCTATGCTCTAATTAGAGTGAGGGCCTTTTGATTGCTTTAAAGAAGAGCTCCAGGTTTTAATAAAACTAACCCTTGCAGTAGGGCTACCCCTACACTGCAAGGGTTAACTGCTCCTATCGGTCTGGGGGCCGGAATAAAGACAAAATACTCCCGTCATCCTCGGTCCTGCAGGGCCCACCTCTCTCCCCTTCTGCTCCGGCTGTGGTATGTCCTTTGCCATCCTCATGTCAAATGCAAGGCAATGGAGCCCAGGTGGGACTGAGGATCAGGTGAGTATATTTCCTTTGTGTCCCTAGACCAAATGAGCAGTTAACTATTGCAGCATGGGGGTAGCCCTACAGCAAGAATTAATAAAAACAGTTCTTCTTTAAAATTCACAATGCCATTACACTTTAATGTCATGAATTAGTTTTTGTTGTTTTTTGTTGTTTTTGTTGTTTTTGTTGTTTTTTTAAATCCTGGAGTTCCTCCTTAATTCCTTCTCACCATAACCTGTATGGATATACTGTCTTGTTATCAAGCAGAGGGATTTGCAACAGTGGGAGGAGCCAGGTTTTAACACATTTCAGATTAGAGAGCAAGATGGCATTCATAAAACTAGGGATGCACCAATACCGGAGCTTCTGGTCAGAGGAAGATTTCCCCTGACCGGCAGTGCCATAGGGGAACATGGAGCCAGCTTCCCGTGCGATCAAAAAGTTGGGCGGCGAGTAATGACCCACTTCCCGGCTTCCTGATTGGCCGGGAAGCCGGCTCGATGCTGATTGGCCAGGAAGCCGGCTTCCCAGCCATTCAGCATTGAGCTGGCTTCCCGGCCAATCAGGAGGCCGAGAGGCCGGGAAGTTGGCTCAATGCTGATTGGCTGGGAAGCCGGTTTCCGGGCCAATCACAATCAAGCTAGCCAAACAACATGAAGCCAGCTTCCCGGGCAATCAGGAAACGGGGTGGCATACCATTACCTGCCGCCCGGCTTCCTGATTGCCAGCGGAAGCACCGTTATCGGTACTCCGTAGCGGCGAGTACCGAAAGCACAATATCGGTACTTGTACTCGATACCGAAAAACCCTTATCGGTGTATCCCTACATAAAACCATTCCAGAGCCCCATACAAAAGCAACTTTTTTCCACCCACTACAATAATTGCTGACCTAATTCATGTCAGCAGAACTAGGCATTAAGACGCAGAGCATACCAAAGAAAACATTTACACATGAAAATAATGTATTATAGATTATCTTTGTTATTTACTAGTGCTGTTCGCAGTACAAAAATGACATTTTATAAAGAACACTATGATTTATAGCTCTGTTACAAAATAGATTTTGCATAGTACAAAATAAAGAACTTTGCATTTAAGGCAGCAGTCTAGTCTAGCTTTGTTTCCAGTTTTTTATACCATAATGTAGCAATCTTATCCTTACAGTAATAAAGAGAATCACCTCCAACTATTGCTACAATGAGTGTGCAATTATCAGAAAACTTATTCCAGTTATTGTTCATTGCCAATTAAAATTTAACCGGCTCACAACCTAAAATTGGCTTTTTTTCTATCCAGTCTATACTGCCATATTGTCACCTGCTTTATGCCAGGTGGATTTATATACTAAACTTTGAAATCAGCTGGTTGAAGGACATGAATAGGTTTGAGAGGTTATTTGAAATGAAAGTAGTAAGGCATATGTTAAAAACAAAGGCACAGAAACAATAGCATGGAGTAGACACCAAACATGTCTTATATCCATGGCCTCAGATCAACACATATAGCTTTAATTAGTCTGACAGCAGCAGAGTGCTCAATGTCAATATTTGATTGGTTACGGTTATTTTAATACAGGATTTAGTCTCATATGCAGAAGTGGACCCTGATCTATACTGCGCTGTGCAGCAAGACAGAGAGGTTCACTGATCCCTCTCTTCACTGCAAGCTGTGGCTCCAGTAAGCAGATCCCACCAGTGGCAATGCTGCTGAAATAACCTAGAGTCTATGCACTTTTAATCGTACAAGTATGACATGGAGAGAATTAGACTACACATTGATATCAAGAAGCAGTCCAAAGGACACACTGTGACTTCTGAAGACATTACCTGGCTGACCAATCGCAGGGGGAACAATATTCAGATTAAAATGCTCACATATATTCACTATATTTTTCCTGGTGGCAGGGCTACATGCTCAGTGCATAAACCTGCATGTCTAGCTAAAATGACTCTCTGTGTTTAACAAAGAACCACTCCTAATAAAGATATTTTCATGTTGAATCATATGAAAGTTAATGGATGTCTGCTGGCAGCCTTAAAGTGACACTAAACTCAGGAGTTGAAACTTAAAAATCCATTCAAGTACCTCAACTATTAACAAAAATTTATCTTATTTGTGTTTCACTCGGCTGTAGATCCTCAAATCATCTCTGAATTGGTGCTGACACTGTCTTTCCTTCTGGAGGGTGGCTACTTCTGTTCCCCATGGTCCCTGTGTGTGTTGTAAAGTAGTCACCACCCCAAGCTCGCACCCATGATGGACTACAATCTCAATCCAAATTACTAAACTTAATGCAAGATTGTAGTCCATCACAGGAGTGAGTTTGGAGTAGTGGCTACTTTACAACACACACACGCGCCATGGGGAACAAAAGCAGCAAGCCTCCAGAAGGAAGGACAGTGTCGGCACCAATTCAGAGATGATTTGATCATCTACAGCCGAGTGATACACAAATAAGATACATTTGTGTTAATAGTTAAGCCACTTGAATGCATTTTTTAGATTTTACTGCTGAGCTTAATGTCACTTTAAGAAAGTGTGGGAGGCCCCCTCTGTTTCTACTCAGAGCAGTCTATAGCAGGGTCCACTTCGTCAAGAAACTATCTTCAAATAAGCTTCAATCATGTTCACATCATCAGAAACAAAAGGAATGTCCTACAATTTTAATTTCACAAATAACTTGTTTCCTTTATCATTCCCTTTACACCTAAACCCCCCCACCCCCTTGCTTCCATTGTCATTTTAGTCTAAGGGATTGTGTATATTCTCCAGACCGCTAAGGTAAGCATTTTGAAATGCAGGTCATTGAAACGTATCACTCACAAAAAAGTATGAGGCAGAGATAACCAGTAGGAGTGCTTTGGTGACATTCTGAATTCCCATTGGCAAATGAGAGTGAGGCTTGCACAGCAGCCATATTAATAATACTTAAAATGTAAATTTCTGGGAATGCATGGACTAGATCACTACAGGGGAAAATGCAGCAATTACAGGAAATCACCCTTCACCATAAAATTATCTTGACTGGATTTTGTCAAATGGAACAAACCAAAAAAACCATTAACATGAAATTCTCCACAAAGAGGTATTAAAGTAAGTCCCACTGTAAAAAATGAAGTATTAAATTCGAAAGTTTTGGCAGCATTTGTATTTAAAACGAGCAACTTGTCTGGTTTCACCGCTGTACTTTTCCCAGTGTCTAAATTCAGTGGACAATAACATTTTGTTAGCCAGACTGAACTGATTGCCACGATGGCTGCCACTGCTGACCTCGTTCTAAAAATGTTAGTTGCCTGGCTGTCTCTGGCTTCAATTTTGAATCACTAACTCACAACAAGCATGCCGCAAACAAAGTCACAAACTTGGTGTGCATACTTGTTCTCAGTGAATCAGAAAACGTTGAAGCCATTGGATCAGCAGAACAGCTAGGTAAACAGCGTGTTCAGAAGGAGGGATCAGAAATGGCAGCCCACGTGCTTCTCTCAGCTTCTCCTTTATTAAGATCTAATTTGTCTTTAAATATAGCTTCTAAGTTGAGAGAATCTAGCAGGGTACAGAGGATTAGTACAGAAGATCATGCAAACAGTCCAGCTTCTAATCCAATTTAGTAACACACTTTTTTAGCCGACTTGAATATTCTGTCCATTTGTAGACTTGTTGTAAATGATCTCATGTCTGTGTCACCATGCAGCATCCAATGAATGGATACTCTGCAGTCCATGATCTACTTCTTCAGCACAGAAAATGGAGTATGAGGATAAGCAACAGGTACACTTTTATGCTGGCTAGATAACCTGTAAGAATGCCTCTTCTGTGTGCTCACATACTATAACAAGTCCAGTTCCTAAAAGGAAAAGTCATCAGAGGGAGGAGCATAGGAGAAGCCAACGAAGGCGTCATCTGCTTCTTCAACACTGGCGTTAACAATGGAGTAGTCTGCAGATATACAGACAGAATCAGGAACCATAGCATTTGTAAATTCTGTGTCAAAGTTTGATATATCATCCGGTCCATCCTATTAAAAAGAAAAGTACAATGAGTTTCACTTTTGTGCAGTATATTTAAGACAAGTTGCAGTTAGCAACATCAGTTAAAGCTTTACTCCAGGCACATATAAAAGACAAATGAATAAATAAATATGCAGCGCTCGTGACCTTAAAGGAGAACTATGAGATGAGTGATTTCCACTCACCTCATAGTTCTAGCTGACCTGTGACAATGAGACTGTCACAGGTCGGCTCAGTAGATCGGGAGGTGAGCGAACACATACCGGGTTCCCTCACCTCTCGATCCTGTCACGGCACTCTGCTGTGACAGGGGGAGGGGCTGGATTCCCCTCTCCCCGCTCCGATCTGCCAGCGCTGACTGGCAGAACGGACAGGGGAGGGGGCGGGTACAGCTGGCTCTGCCTCCAGATAGGCAGAGCCAGCTGTCACTCACGCAGCTGGGCGGATCCCGTCATCTACGTCGGGATCCGCTCCAGGTGCGGCGTCTCAGTATACCGCGAGCTGTAGCACGTGATATACTGAGCTTAGGGTAACAGGAGGACGCTAGTTTGTGTCCTCCCGTTATCCTAAGGAGAACTATGGGGAAAAACACTGACCCCATAGTTCTCCTTTAAATCATATAATAGTGATTAGTGAAAAAATAAGTGATCAAAACAAATCCATAAATGGTGTACCAAAATGTAACGTAAAAGAAATTAATTAAATATCACAATCAAGGTTAAGTGAACAATATTGTGTACTCCTTGTGAAGAAATTGATAATACAAATTTGATATCAAATCCAGGTTCATAGGTATTAATTCATAAAACTTATATGTATATAAAATATAAAGTGCAAAAGGTCACGAGCGCTGCATATTTATTTATCATTGTACTTAGTGTCTAGGTTGCAGCAGCTTTAAATATCCACTATTTTATTTTATATTAACTTATTATATACACTTTGTTCACTAATTGGATTGGAAGCTTTTTCCTAAGCACAGATTTGATATTTTACTATTACATATAAAAGACACAAATTACTGCAGCTCTCTAATCAATGATACATTATAAAATGTATGTTTGTAAATACAAGGAGGGGAATTTGTCAAAACTGCAGCAGACAAAATCTGGAGCAGCTGTGCATGGCAACCAATCAGTATTTACCTTTCATTTTCAGACCTTAAAGGAGAAGTGTCAGTGTTTTTCCCCATAGTTCTCCTGGGGGTAACGGGAGGACACAAACTAGCGTCCTCCCGTTACCCTAAGCTCAGTATACCGCGAGCTACAGCTCACGGTATACTGAGACGGCGCAGCCGGAGCGGATCCCGACGTAGATGACGGGATCCGCCCAGCTGCGTGAGTGACAGCTGGCTCTGCCTATCTAGAGGCAGAGCCAGCTGTACCCGCCCCCTCCCCCGTCCGTTCCGCCAGTCAGCGCTGGCAGATCGGAGCGGGGAGAGGGGAATCCAGCCCCTCGCCCTGTCACGGCAGAGAGCCGTGACACGATCGAGTGGTGAGGGAACCCGGTATGTGTTCTCTCACCTCCGGATCTACTGAGCCGACCTATGACAGTCTCATTGTCACAGGTCGGCTTAGAACTATGAGGTGAGTGGAAATCACTCATGTCATAGTTCTCCTTTAACTGAACAAACTGAAGAAAGAAGCTGATTGGTTGCAATAGGCAACTGCTCCAGATTCTTCTGCTCTAGTTTTGATAATTCCCCCACAAGGAGTGTAAGTACCTAGATTTAACTTGGTATCAGACTCCTGCATTCCCCTTTACATAGCTTAGAGTGTGAGCGGAAGAAACAATGAGTCAAGTTCATCAGTGTCGACAATGAATAGAAAGTGACAGATGAGCTCATCACTGTGCTGCTTTCTTCATGGGTCCATGACAGCCTGGGCTCAGGGGAAATGGGTTGAATGATGCTGGCTGCCATTTAAACTGAAAATCTGAGGACATCTAGTGGCTGAAAGCCAGCACTGCAGACGACAGCTTTTGCTAAATTGCTCACCTTCAAGACATGTCCCCGTTTTTTATTTTATAATTTACTGGGTAATTATTTTTTTAAATGTAGGCTGGAGTTCTGCTTTGAAGCACCTCTGGATTGATTCTATTGTGAGAACATCCCACTAATGCCAGCCATGTGATAAACTTATGGGGCTTATGTTAGCCAGAGAACTGTGAAATCTGAGTCATCACAATCTATCTTCAATAACTGTCATCAAAAAAACAAATCATCATTTATAGAGCTACAATTTTCCTGCCCATTTTCATTGGACAAAAAGTTTTATCAAGGGTCTAGTTCCATCATAAGCTAATATGGATCAGTCATAAAAATCACGCATGTGCCTTTTTCTATACCTGGGAGTTTGAAATGATCATCTGGCTCTGTTGCATTTGTGTATTTTGATAGAACATTTCATATATTAGGAATTTTCTGTAAGTGTAAAAAGTAATGACGGTGTGCAAACTGCAATAATCCAAGGCAGCCCTGATCACATCATAGAAATATGATTTCTGACCAGTTACATTGGATAACGAACCTTTCTGATTATCATTTCTCTTTGTATTGCCATACAGAGTTCCTTTACCTTGGCTCTGATCTGTATTCCATTCGAATGGCATTTATACAGTTTACTGAACATGTTCATTGATCTGTCGCTGGCCAATAAACATAGAGATAACACTACCACTTACCACATGAGGGTCATATGGTGGAGGGATCTTCTTTTCAGCAAGATCATTCCAGTTTATACATGTGAAGAATGGGTGGTATTTAATTTCTTCCTGCAAAGCAAATGAAAAGGAACATATTTTAATAGAGCAATTAAGAATACATTTACACAGTGCTTGCATGTTCAATACAAAACACAGGAAGATGTACGGAAGTTACAATTGTGAAAATGTCACAGAATGTTTTTTCAAGGAATATACACTGAGTGGCCAGATTATTATGACCACCTGACATTTGTAGGCAAATTAGCTATAATTTCGCGCTGAAGTTGCTAGAGGGCCAGACCATTATAAATAGGGAAGTAGGTTGTTTATCACGACAGTAGACATGATTTTTTTCTGAAGATATGGGTAAACAACGTGATTTAACAGCCTTTGAACGTGGGATGATTGTTGGGATGAGGGTTGACCTGATCTCTAGGCAAGCTAAAGGATTATTTTACCAAGGTCAGTCTGTATGGGGAATTTAGCCTGTGCTATTGATATGGGATTGGGCCTGAATCAGAACAGTTATTTTAAGTATATGGCACCTTAATCCTATAGGAAGAAAACAATTATCAGCATTCCAGATTAAAGCAGAGTAAGCGAGATGGAAGAGTCACCTACAAAGTCATTATTGGATCCAAGCCTTTGTTTTGGGTCTTTTTCAAGCAGCTCTTCTAAAATGGATGACGCCGTCAAACTAATGTCTGCTCTTGTGACCAGGGGTTTGTGGAGGATATTTTCATACATGGTTGCTATGTCACGGCTGTAAAAGGGAGGCTGAAACACAGAAAATACTGACCATTAGTCTCAGATATATGTACCAGCATATACGTATTCATAAACAGAACAGAAATAATATCATTCAAAATAAATTATAAATATTTCTTCCATTACATAGAGCTCTAATTATGTCACCAAAATTGCAAAAGCCAGATGTGATCCTGATATGGAAAGACAACATTTGAGACACAAGAGAGTAAAAGAATTAAGTATGTGCTACTTCCATAATTCCACGTTTCTGATAAATGTAATACAATATTGCCATGTCCACCATTTTCAAGGGAATATGTTTAAAGTTTGCTCATTGCCACTGAGTAAGCGTAGACAAAACTGCACAGTTGTCTATAGAATGCATGCATAGACACAGCACTTCATGTGTACACTATTGCCCATAGCAACAAGCAACTCCAGAACATTTACAAGAGAGGGGGCAACATGGTAAATTTCTTGTGGACATAAGGAGAGGAATATTTCTAGTAAACACAATTCTCTAAGCTGATTATTTTCCCACTCTGCCTAATATTATCAGATTTATTGGAATGCTGCAACTGCACTTTGAAGTAAATTTATCTCAAACCTGGAGACTTCAAACTAAAAATATATTAGTTACATATTGTGGTTAGTGAGGCTGAAAACAGACCAAGTCTGTAGCGCTCAACCTTCTTTTCTATACTAGAAAGAAAGATATACAAACTACTGATCATATTGGCATGCAGTTTTACATTCTTTATTTCAATTGCTCATGCTACAATACTGCTGCAATAACGCAACAGCAACGATTGCATGTAAAATGCAATAATAGGTAGGTGGAGCGGAAAGGAAATGGGTAACCATGTTTGTAGTCTCTGGAGAGGTATACTTCTAGCACTTTGTTAGCCTGAACCAAATGGACAATTCTTTTTGTTTTAACCTCCTGAACAACAAAATAGACTTCTATTGTAATTCCATTTATATCGCCACCATGGAAATCCTCTGGGTGATTAGAAAGCCAAAAGGTCAGTTTGATTAGGTCTGATTAAAATAATAAAACAAATATTACTGTAACAGAAAGATCTATCTTACCAAGCCATGGAGCATTTCAAAAAGGACAGAACCAAGACACCACCAATCTACAGTGTTGTCATACGGCTGCTTCTTTATTACCTCTGGTGCTAAATACTGGTAAAAAAACAAGGAATACATGAGTCACTCTCATCTTATAAAACTTGTATTTGTTCATTTTTTGTAAGCGCATCTGTCATATGTGCATCAAAAGCACAATCCATGCTTGCATAGTAAGCACCCTCAGGTGCTGTAGCTTACCATTTCTATTTTTATACTTCATGGTGGCTCTCTGATCCACCACCACAGTCCTTATAAGGTCCTATGACAGCAACTTTCAACATTTGCACGGGGTTAGACAGTACTCTGTCAAGGTGCATGTGCAAATACTGTATATCCCATACTTGGAAGCACAGGGTTGTTTCAATAGGAGGTCATGTAAAGTGATGGAGCATGAAAGTAGTAAGTTCTTTTAGTTAGGGGTTGCAGAATGTGCCGGAGCAGTGGAAGTAATGGGTTCTTTCATTGAGGGGTTGGGGAAGATGCTGGAGCTGTAGAAGTAATTGGTTCTTTCATTGAGGGGTTGGGGAAGGTGCTGGAGCAGTAGAAGTAATTAGACTTGTGCGCCGTCAAAAAATTTGTTCTGTTTCGTTTCGGAATATCCGTTATTTCGTATTTCGTAATTCGTAACTGAACTCAATTCGGATTCGTACGAAATACGAATTTTCGTTAGTGGCGGTTATATGTTCGTAACTTTACGAACATTCGTTATGATGAAGTTAAAAAGCAAAATACCTTTGTTAATATTGGAGTGGTAGTTGTTTTTTTATCCGAAATACGAATTCCGGATCTGAATTTCGTATTTCGTATAAAAAAAAAACTACCATCAATTAACTCCAATATATTAACAAAGGTATTTTGCTTTTTAACTTCAATACAACGAATGTTCGTAACGGAACGGAAATACGTCAACGGAATTTCGTATTTCCTGCCTGTATTGTAATGCAACTCTCAGCAGCAGAAGAGAACCTCTGATTGGTCAACCAAAACGAAATCCGAATTCCGTATTTCGGACTTTAAAAAAAACTACCATCAACTCCAATATAAATGTACTTTGCTTTTTACCTTCAATATAACGAATGTTCGTAATGGAACGAAAATACGTCATCGGAATTTCGTATTTCCTGCCTGTATTTGTAATGCAACTCTCAGCAGCAGAAGAGAACCTCTGATTGGTCAACCAAAACGAAATACGAATTCCGTTAACGGATTCCGTATTTCGGATTTTAAAAAAAACTACCATCAACTCCAATATAAATGTACTTTGCTTTTTACATTCAATATAACGAATGTTCGTAACGGAACGAAAATACGTCAACGGAATTTCGTATTTCCTGCCTGTATTTGTAATGCAACTCTCAGCAGCAGAAGATAAAACCTCTGATTGGTCAACCAAAACGAAATACGAATTCCGTTAACGGATTCCGTATCCAAATTTCGTATTTAAAAAAAATACCATCAACTCCAATATAAATGTACTTTGCTTCTTAACTTTAATATAACGAATGTTCGTAACGGAACGAAAATACGTCAACGGAATTTCGTATTTCCTGCCTGTGTATTGTAATGCATCAGCAGCAGCGGATCCGTATCTCGGATTAAAAAAAAATCTTGTCATGTTGTTCAACCTCATTTACAGGGGTAATATTAGTTCCTGTTTCAAAGAAATTCGGATCCGAAATTCGTTAACGGAATTTCGTATTTCGGATATAATTTGGAAACTGCTATTCGGATTTCGGATGCTCCGAAATTCGGAATTTCAGGAAAATTCGTACGAATTTCGATTTGTAACGAAACGAATCGCACATGTCTAGAAGTATTGGGCTCTTTCATTGAGGGGTTGTGGAACTCAGGGGAACCCCGTGGCCGGGTGTCACGCGGAGCGGATAGCGGGTGACACCCCGCAGTGACGCCATCGCGCATGTGCTTGACGTCACCATGTGCGTGCGGAATGATGTAATTGCGCATGCGCGGCCATCTTATTCATACCTGCTGGCGGCCATCTTGGTGATGGACGCCGGGAGAGAGAGGAGGGGACAGTCACTCAGCAGGATAAGGTATGCCGCCGGGTCCTCTCCTCTCTCCCGAAATTGTCGGGCTCTCGGTCCTTGACCAATTGTCCGACTTTTCAGAGGGAGTGACACCAAAATGACTGTCAGTCATTTTGGTGTCACC